GAATTAAGTTATACAATGATAATGTGTTCAACATCGCTTGTTTACTTACAGAAAGAGAGAGAAATGGGAATTAACGTCCACTCCACACAAACTAGGTGATTTCGGGACTAAAATATGGTTCAATTTTATTAAAATTATTCGCTTGTGCGTACGAGTGTTTAGCAGTGGGAGGAAACCGGAGGACCCGAAGAAAAACCCGCGAGGTTTGACAGGCGACACTACTCCTTGTCACATACAACCGGGGAATCAAAACTACGCAAGCTGACTCAATGACAGACCTTATAATACCGCGCGCATGTGCTAACCATTCAACCATACCCCCACCCACCTTGTAATATAAGACTTATACATCTGAATGAGATATGAAATGAAATGAAATGGGGTTTAACGTCCTACTGTTCTGCTCCTAACCTGGGCTAATGAAGACGGGCATACGCCATACAGTGTGCTATGGGGGAAATTTTTGCCCGGGCAGCGGCACTATTGCCTACTCTTATATCGAATTCCAACTGCCAGGGGATCTTTTACGTGCATTCCAATATATACACGGGACCTCAATTTTTCATCTCATCCGAAGGACTAGACAGCTGTCCTTGTCAGGCCTTCCGTCCTGCATCACTGACAAGGGGGAACCACGCCGGAAAATCTGGATGAACTTTCTCGGCCAATGCAGGGATCGAACACCCGACCTCCAGGCTAGCAAGCCAGCGCCTTACCCACTTAGCCACGTGATCCCCCTGAATCAGATAATAATTGGGCTACAAATTATTGTCTTTGACAATTTTATGACACAATTCTCTTCAACGAATCTCTATCATCTGGGGGATCACATTCTTAAACTTCAATAAATCTGGTTCTTTTGGTACCTAGTGGTAAGGAGAGAGAGAGAGAGAAATGGGGTTTAACGTCCACTCGACACAAACTAGGTCATTTCGGGACTAACATATGGTTTAATTTTATTTCAATATTTCGCTTGCGCGTAGGGGTCTTTAGCAGTGGGAGGAAACCGGAGGACCCGGAGAAAACCCACGAGGTTGGACAGGCGACCCTACTCCTTGTCACGTACAACCGGGGATTCGAAACCATGCCAGTCGACTCAATGACAGACTTTATGATAATCTAGTGGTAGTAGATCAGACGCCAAACGGCTCCAAAATGATGAAAAGTGACACCAGCAAAATATTAATTTGTGAAGATTTGAAGATCAAATTTCAATTAGTAACACATATAGGCCATATCTAGCTTCCTGGTGGAGTAGTTCTCGACTAGTTCCATACTTCATTAAACACTAATCAACTGATGGCCTCAGGACAAATGACATCCAAGTCTTTCATTATTTTAAAATTACACAATAACTGTATATCGCCTGGCGTGAGAACTTGGTGATTGATAGAGTACTTAATTTATGTCATTATACCAGAAGTCAGATTATGGATGTCTTCCTATATAGCATTAGTTTTATGTCTTTCTCTGTTCGGTGAAATGAAATGGGGTTTAACTTCCTACTGTTCTCCTCCTACTGGGCTAATGAAGACGGGCATACGCCATACAGTGTGCTATGAGGGACATTTTTCTTGGACAGCGGCACTACTCTTACATCCAATTCCAGCTGTTTAGGGTTCCTTTACATGCACCCCAATGTATACACAGGACCTCAATTTTTCGTCCCTTCTGAACGACTACTGACAAGGGCAAACCACACCAGAAAATCCTGATGAAATTTCTCAGCCAACGCAGGAATTTGAACACGGGTCCCCCAGGTAAATAAGCCAATGTCCTACTTCCCAGGACGAGGATGCGCGTTGTATCATAAGGTCTCGCATTGAGTCAACTGCCATGGTTTTGATTCCCCGGTTGTACGTGACATGGAGTAGGGTATCCTATCAAACCATGTGCGTTTTCTATGGGTCCTCTGGTTTCCTCCAACTGCAGCTTTTGTAAATGAAATGAAATGAAATGTGGTTTTATGGCACGTCAGCTCCAACGGGGCTATATTGCGCCAAACATATGGTGAATTTTACGGGACAGGCTAAATTATATCACAGCTTTTGTCCTAATAACCTCTGTTTCGTTGTTCTCATTTTCTTCTTTTCGAGGGTGAGGGAAAGAAGAGTGTAAAATAATAAAGAGGAAGTAAACTAGGAGTCAACCACAGCATCTGACAATAAGGTTTAATATGGAGATGATCGTAATCTCTCTGTCTAAAGGTGGTATATGTAACACTATTTTAGTGATAACAGAGATCAGTTTAGTAAATATATGATTTTTTTTACATCGAAACAGAGTATTAAACAGTTACATAGTATACAACATGAACTAAACTACATCAGGAACTAGACTACAACAGAAACACATCAGGACAGTACATAAGTATATTAAATCCACCATTCTGCAACTTTGCCAAGGCAGTGGCTGAACTCTGGTGAGTCCATACACTCGTCTAAGCCTCTCTTCTCCTCCCCGCTCTGTCTGTCTTATTTTCCTGATTATATAGCGCTGGAGAATAGATAAGACGCATGATCCTACATACAATTGTCTCTTTATTACGTCATGGTATGCTTACTGACCTGTATATATTCCTTTGAAGTCACGTGGATCTTGTACACAGATCATATTTATTTTGTATATGACATATGGGATTAATTACATAATTAATTAGATCATAGCCAGTTCATGCCTTAACAAAAGTATATATAGAGTTGAAAAGTCAATATCATATATTATCAAAAACCAGCTGAGGGCATAAAGTTCTAAGCACCTTTAGAAATGATTGTTTATGAAAGTTATAGAGTACTTTGTTACATATATTAACCTTGGAGGCGCGATGATGTAATCTGTCTGTCTAAACAGTAGTATATTAACCTTCCAGACATTGTATCTATAAAAGTTCAATTAGAATTACGACCATTTGTTTAAAATGCCATAAAGACTGTTTATATAGGACTGGTTGTACAAGTCAAACAAATTTATATCATACATTGTCAAATGCTGATTTTTTTTGATTTTTTTTTATGCTTTTCTGCATCAATTCGTTTAAATGAAATATCCTCCTTTTCTTCACTGCCTGGGCTAATGAAGATGGGAATTTGTCATACAGCTTGCCGTGAGGGAATTTTAATTCCAACTGATAGGGGTTCTTTTACGTACATACCAATGTGTACATGTGGTCTCTGTTTTTTTTGGTTTTTTGGGGGGGGTGGTGGATGGCTGAATGGTTAGCACGTGCGCGCTGTATCATAAAGTCTGTCATTGAGTCGACTGGCGTGGTTTCGAATCCCCGGTTGTACGTGGCAAGGAGTAGGGTCGCCTGTCCAACCTCGTGGGCTTTCTCCGGGTCCTCCGGTTTCCTCCTACTGCTAAAGACCCCCTACGCGCAAGCGAATTATTGAAATAAAATTAAACCATATGTTAGTCCCGAAATGACCTAGTTTGTGTCGAGTGGACGTTAAACCCCATTTCTCTCTCCCTCTCTCAGGTTTTTTAACCATCCAATCTACTATACACTGTCTTTGCCAGGCCCTTCAGCCTGTGCCACTGACAAGGGGAAACCTTGCCGGAAATACCCGATGTACTTCTTTAATTGAATTGTTACACAACCTTTTAAAGTTATTTGGTATAAGGAGAAAAAGAGACAAAATGGAGTTTAACATCCACTCGATAAAAACAAGGTCATTTCGGAACTATCATGTGGTTCAATTTTATTTCCATAATTCGCTTGCGCGTAGCGGTCTTTAGCAGAGGGAAGACCCAGAGGACCAGAAGGACACGCACAAGGTTGGACAGGCGATCCTACTCCTTGTCATATATAAGCAGAAATGAAAAACACGCCACTTGACTGAATGGCAGACCTTATGATCTAGCATGGATGTGTTATACCAATTGTACACCCAACCCCAAAGTTATTTGAAGGTATAGTTTTGGCAAGATAACAAGTAACAACATATTATTACAGCCAATAAACTTTGTGTGATAAACTTAGAGATGCATTATGTAAGATTTAGATAGAGAGAGAGTGAGAGAGATGAGGTTTAATATCCACTCGACACAAACTAGATCATTTCAGGACTAACATATGGTTTCATTTATATTTCAATGATTCGCTAGCACATAGGGGTCTTTAGGGAGGAAACCGGAGAAAACCCACGAGGCTGGAGGGGCGACCCTACTCTTTGTCACATACAACCAGGGAACAAAACCACGCCAGTCGACTCAATGACAGACCTTATGATACAATGCACACACACTAACCATTTGGTCATCCATTTAGATAAAGAATTGGCTGTTCTTGTTATAATAGTTCAAAAATAGATAATAAAAAATGTATACATTGAAAATTTCGTTCAATAAGAAACCAGTTAAAGCACACTGAACAGGATTAATGTAAAAGTTTGTTAAAGAAATGGCCACAAATTATTTATAGCACAAAAATCGTTTATTATCTTAGCAACGGTACTTGACAACCCAGACTTAGCTTTGATTATCCATCTTATCAAATCCATTTAAATCTCAGCCATCCGATGATCTAGAGAGTTGATTATAAGTTTGTCATGAGAATCAATGTCTAAATAATAATTTATATAACATATTTGAAGCAAGAAAAAATAACATGTAATAGGCAGATTTAACTCTTACATAATGCATCTTTAAATCTTTTTTTAACCGAAAGGTTCTTTTATAACTAATAAGTCTGGAATGGTTCTTCAATCTCTAACATAATGCATTTTTAAATCTAAGTATAATCTATAAATATTTTTATAACCAAATGTTCTTCAATAACTAATAAGTCTGGAATGGTTCTTCACTCTCTAGTGCATCTTTGAATCTTTTTTTTAACCAAAAGGTTCTTCAATAACTAATAAGTTTGGTTTTTCAATCTCTTACATAATGCATCTTTAAATCTTTTTTAACCAAAAGGTTCTTTAATAACTAATAAGTCTGGAATGGTTCTTCAATCTCTAACATAATGCATCTTTAACATGTGTAAGAAATGTGTTTATTACCTGTGGATCTTCTATAAATTCCATCATAGACTCTTCACCATCTAATAAAACAGATACAGTTGTCTCTGGTTCCGATTCCACATCAGCTGTAAATATATAACACATAACAGTCATTCTATTGAAAACAAATGAAGGTATGAGGGTAATTTTGCCCAGACAGCAGCGCTACAGCCTACTCTTTTATCGAATTCAAACTGTAAATACATAACACATAACAGTCATTCTATTGAAACCAACCATAGAATATAAATTTAATAACAGTCATTCTATTGAAACCAACCATAGAATATAAATTTAATAACAAAAACAACCATAGAATATAAATTTAATAACAAAAACAACCATAGAATATAAATTTAATAACAGTCATTCTATTGAAAACAACCATAGAATATAAATTTAATAACAGTCATTCTATTTAAAACAACCATAGAATATAAATTTAATTACAGTCATTCTATTGAAACCAACCATAGAATATAAGTTTAATTACGGTCATTCTATTGATAACAATAAGCGTTTGCTTGATATAAATTTTATAACAGTAATTCTATTGAAAACTACAAGGGTATATGCTTAATATAAATTTAATAGCAGTCTACTGAAAACAACAAAAGTTTGCTTAATATAAATTTTATAACAGTTATTCTATTGAAAACAACAAAAGTTTGCTTAATATAAATTTAATAACAGTAATTCTATTAAAAACTACAAGCGTTTGCTTAATATAAATTAAATAACGGTTATCTATTGAAAACAACAAATGTTTGCTTAATATAAATTTAATAAAGTCTGTCTAAAGCCCCGTTTACATGCACAACATTTAAATGAAATGGGGTTTAAAGTCCTACTGTTCTGCTCCAACTGGGCTAATGAAGACGGGCATACGCCCGTGTACACAGGACCTTGTTTTTTGTCCCATCCGAATTACTAGACAGCTGTCCTTCATTATCCCAGTTCAGAGCAGAACAGTACGACATTAGACCCCATTTCATTTCACCTGTAGGTCGGGTGTTCGATCCCTGCATTGACCGAGAAAATTCATCCAGATTTTCCGGCGTGGTTTCCTCTTGTCAAGGATGCAGGGGGAGGGCCTGACAAGGACAGCTGTCTAGTCGTTCGGATGGGACGAAAAGCAGAGGTCCCGTGTACATATTAGCATGCACGTAAAAGATCTCTTGGCAGTTGGAATTCGATATAAGAGTAGGCCGTAGCGCCGCTGCCCGGGCAAAATTTCCCTCAGAGCAGTTCAGAGCAGAACAGTAGGACATTAAACCATATTTCATTTCATTTCATTTCATTTCTTTTGTTTAAATATCAAGTAGTACTTGGAAATGTTATACCACATATGTACAGTTAATAATGTTCAGGGGATCAGATGCACTTTAAGTCATAAGGTCTGTGGAAGTAGTTCTGTTTCTAGTGTATATTTGAGTGTATATTAGATCCAGACTGGCTGTCTATTAAAAAAAACTAGTTATCTCACGATGCTGTATACTCATTCACGCTGGCTCAACGACTAAGCCTCCAGCTCGTTAACTAGATTGCATTGGATTTCATTCCAGTGTTGGCAGAGAAAGGAACTTTGGTTTTTATTTGATCACAATTTTTCTCATAGCACACCACATTAACAATTGTTACAGGAACTGTAGGACGCCTGTGTTCTCTTTTCTTTTATATTCTGTATTTTGTATTTCGCATGACTTAGTTGTCAGAACCATAGAAATCTAATCTATTAAAGATTATTATTTTAATTGGTCTCTTTAGGCTGGGTTTACACTATGGATTTTTGATACAAAATTGTCACGACAGTCTGATTGTAGAAGTTATTCAGGGTTCCCGCAGCTTCGTTAACCATTTTTTCAAGGATATTCATGGATAAATATACGTCAAATTCAAGGATTTTCAAGGACATTTCTTAGCCTAAAGTTACAATTTTTCATCTTAAAAATAACCAAAACATTACCAACTATCGTTATAATCTCATATTTAAAAGGAATTGAAGACATTTGAAACAAAATTAAGGATCTCAACTGAAATTCAAGGATATTTTCCTATTTCCGCCAAATTCAAGGATATTCAAGACCTTGAAAATGAAATTTTAAATTTAAGGATTTTCAAGGACGGCGGGAACCCTGTTATTATTAGACTCAATGGTGGTAGAGAATGAGAGAAATGGGGTTTAATGTCCACTTGACACAAACTAGGTCATTTCGGGACTAACATGGTTTAATTTTTTATTTCAATAATTCGCTTGCTAGTAGGGGTCTTTACCAATGGGAGGAAACCGGAGGACCCGGAGAAAACCCACGAGGTTGGACAGGCAACCCTACTCCTTGTCACATACAACCGTGGATTCAAAACCACGCCAGTTGACTCAATGACAGGCTTTATGATACAGCGCGCACGTGCCAACCATTCAGCCATCCACCCCTCCCACCCATCTTCAATAGAAGACTTGATCTCGCTTTAACTACGTACATCTTATCAAGCTCTTCACGTAATACCCTTCATATTTCGGCACTAATTTCAATTGGGTACAAGCCCAGCTTGTGAGCCTATCAGATTCCTCGATTGTCCCGAATACCAAGTCTCGCGCTTTCAAGCTAAAATGTCTACCTGTGATAATCGAGTTGCAAAGTTCAACGTTCATTCAATGTCAAGGTTTCCGTGGAGGCCGCGATGTCACAACCTCTGACTGGACGCTACTGTTCATGTGTCTGTAGACTCAATGACTGGCTTTATGATACAGCACGCACGAGCTAACCATTCGGCCATCCAACGCCCCTCTAACTGGATATAACGATTATTGTAAACTGATACCATGTATATAATAAAAGACCACAGAAAAACATGATTACCGATATTAATGATTATTTTTATTACATAAGATTTTGACATGGTGTAGACCTACCTGGATATAAAGATTATATAATAAAGACAACCGAAAAATGTGATTACAGGTATTCATGATTAGTTTTATTACATGTGCTTCCGACAATTATATAGATAGTGAGGAATTACACTTAATTATTATATGAGACAAAGTGGCTCAGTAGGTAGGACGCTAGCTCGCTAGCCTGGAGGTCTGGTGTTCGATCCCTGCATTGGCCGCGAAAGTTCATCAGGATCAATTTATACAATAGTTGTTCAGATGGGACAAAAAAAACTGGGGTCCCATGTACACATTGGTGTGCACATGAAAGATCCCTTGGCCGATGGAATATGATATAAGTGCAGGCTGTTTTGCCGTAATCTGGGCTAAATTTACCTGATAGCACACCATATCTATGGCATATGTTCATCTTCATTAGCCCAGTTGGAACAGAATGGTAATAGGTAACCCCTTTCATTTCATTTGAAAAAATAAATCTGAACAAGTATTTCAGTTTTAACACTTGGTTTGAGATAATTTCATTTCATCCCTGCAAATTTCACGTTTTGGGAATACTGTGTATATTTTGTATGTTTTTTTATGGATAAGCCGTTACAATTTTGAGATTCTGTAGCCTGATTTAAAGTCGATTTTCTAAACAGAAACACTTCATCAAATTCTATTCAGATATAATTGGGAAATTGAATTAGATTTTTGATAAAAAAAACCAAACAAATCGTGGCCATTAATATGAGAAATGGATGTATATCTAAATCTAAAATAAATATGTTGATAGATTAAGCTAACAAAATAAATGGGCTTTAACATCCCACTTGAAGATGGGGTTTGAGATAACGATCGATAATGACCAATTTCGTATTCAACCGTGGACGGTCTAAAAAGTACAAATTAAAACTAACAGTAGTGAGGAAAAAAGATTTTATTTTACCAATTGAAATGAGAATATAGGCATAATCACAAAGTGCTTGACATGAAAAACCATATTAAATGCTCTTTTTTTATCTAAGTTAAAGATAGTTTGCTCCCTTGGGAAAAACAGGACAGTAAGCCTAGCTTATTATAGTTTATATTTTATAGAACGTCTTCCAGGCAGTGGTAAGGTTATCGATCATTCTGTTCCCTTGGGAAAAACAGCGCAGTAAGCCTAGCCTATTATAGTTTATATTTTATAGAACGTCTTCCGGGCAGTGGTAAGGTTATCGATCATTCTGCTCCCTTAAGAAGAACAGTGCAGCAAGCTTAGCCTATTATAGTTTATACTTTATAGAACGTCTTCCGAGTGGTGGTAAAGTGATCGATCATTCTGCACACAGAGAACTATCTACTCTACTTTGAGAATAGATCACTGCCCTAAATGTCCGCCATATCAAACAATTATAGTACAGTAGAACTTGCTTGGGCGTGCAAACACTTGCTTCAACGAGCACCAAAAAGTCCCCCCGAGCGATTTTTAAGTAATTTAACCTCTACTAAACATGTACCTGTTCAACGCGTGCAACAGGCATCATGATTAATTCACTCCGTAAAAATTCTACTGTTTCAACGGTCACTCTTCTAATGCGACCAGCGGTCACTATTTTACTAATAAATTCAACAAAACATCGCCCATTCAACAGCCATTGTTGAATGATACCATCTTGTCGTTCTTTCTTTGTAACACTCCCGCTAATCCCGTGAGTAGTAGTTAATTAACTGGACCCCCACTGATCAGGTAAAAAGAAAGGTAAGAATAACAATCAACCCGGGATTATCTGTTTATTAATCTTTTGTTTTATTAAACGACTAACCTGATCATTGTTTTCACGCGTAACGACACATTATTTGATACTGTTTGAATAAAATAAAAGTACCGAGTTTTGTCACGATCATCTAGTATCTCTTTTCCATTGCCATTGATAAAATCAGTGATGGTTTTTTGTTCTTGTGCTTTTTTGATAAAATAAAATTAATTCATCGATTTTCTTCACAAAAATGGATAAATATTATCGAATGCATCACAATGGTAGAAAGTAGTATCGAAGGTTGGTACAAAATGACAAGTTTACAGAAGTTATGTTCGAGATTTAAGTAAATAATTTTCGTTCGGCGCAAGATTCAGCGACGGTCAAATTTATCGATGCAAGTATTGATGTTTGCTCCCAATGCACCCAAGCGTAATTAATTTATGTCAGCACAAAAAGCATCGAGATT